GCTTCAACGAGTCTCCAACCTGGAAGACTGAGTCATCTTTAATTAAACACTCTTTTCCTCTCATCTCTAGAATAAGGCACCAGATCAACCTTATTTTTTTCCTACAAACTAGAGTATGGTGGAGGAGAAAAGGTCTTCAAGTTAATCAGACCTGTGTTTAAATTTAGCTAAGTTATTTACTGAAACTTTTCATGAACTTGGATATATTATGTAACACTTCTGAGCTTCAGTGTTTCACATGAAAAGGGAGGAAATTACCTACTATGGCATTGTTGCAATGATAAGATAATACATTAAAACGTTTGGAATATAGTAGGACTAAAAAATGTTAGATGTTTCTCAGACCCCTTCCCTTTCCAGCTGTTTCTTTCTCTGAATTCCCACTGCCACACTCTGTTCAAGTCCCTCAGTCCAATGTACATGAAATATCAAAATCAAACCCCATTCATTGCCCCACTTCCCTGCACTCTACTTTCTCCATATGGACCTGCTTCCCTAATTAATGTCATATGACTCCTTTATCCAAAGTTTGCTACTTTTTCATCATACTAATTTGATACTTCCTTTGTCTTTAAGGTTCCTGAAAGATCCCTTCCTCTTCCTCTTCCCCTGACCCAAATCATCCTTCTCCATTTCCCCTTTCTCCTTAACCTGAATTTTCCATCCTAGACCTCCAGGCTTCCCTGAACTTTTCCCCAAGGCCACATTGTTTTTTCTTTTCCCCTGAAAGTTTAACATCCTTCTATCTCTAATCTCATACCTCTAGTGACAGATCAGACCTACCTCCCTTACAGTCCTTTACCTCAAGTTTCCATCCACCCAGACCTCCCTCCAGCCTGTAACCATGAGTAACACCTCATAGCACCCTGACTTGTGTTTGCTAATTGTCTTAGTCTGTTCAAGCTGCTATAAGAAAACACCACAGACTAGGTTGCTTATAAACAACAGAAATGTATTTCTCACAGCTCTGGAGGCTGGGAAGTCCAAGATCAAATCACCAGCAGACTCAGTGTTTGGTGAGGGCCTGCTTCTTGGTTCACAGCAGTCTTTTCACTGTAACCTCAAATGGCAGAAAGGGCAAGGTGTCTCTCTTGAGCCTCTTTTATAAGGGCACTAATCCCACAGAGCCCTCATGACCTAATCACCTCCCAAAGGCCTCATCTCCTCATACCATCATCTTGGAGGTTAGGATTTCAACATATGAAATATGGGGGGACACAAACATTCAGACCATACTAATGTTCTAGATCAATGCTTATAAGTAGGTTTCACATGTCAGTAACATTTCAAAGCCTAAACTTGCCACTGGCACTAGTTTTACATTGTTTTTTGCCCTGGGAAAAATATTTTTAAATCATTTGTTTTCTTCATTTCATTTTTAAAAGGATATTTTACAAAAAATAGAAGGCCATAATGTTAAAATAAAAATTTTAAATTGAATGCATTTAGAGTTGTGCAAAAAAAATTTTTTATCCTTATTTTTTCATTTTGATGTGGACCAGAGGAAACTTTACCAGGGAAATCCTTGGACAGGTATTTGGTAACCTCCATAATAGTCTCTCAACACCTTTGATTCCTGTAGCATGGACAATTGACACTAGGAGAGTTCCTACTATGAACCAACTAGTGTATCTTTACATGTTTCTCTCTGCATGTATGGGATAGGTATAAGCGTGCTATTCTACAGATAGCAAAACTAAGGCATAACAAGTTTGGAACTTGCTCAAGGACCCATAGAGAATAACTGGTGGAAGTGAGATTTGAACCCAGTGATTTAGGCTCTAGTGTTCTTGACTACTACCACACACTGCTGTCATTTCTTTCAACTCTATGGTATGAGTATGGTTCTATGCACAAAATAAGCACACCACTATGTGCAATGATCATGGCAGCTTTTGCCATAATATATCACATCTTCTGAACAGAATAATGGCCAGATATATGAGGAGTCTTCAAAAGGTTCATGAAAAGATTTGTATTATATTTTATATTTTAATTCTATTTATGAACTTTTTGAAGTACATTCATATATCATCCCAAGAAGACTATTTCTACAGAGGGTATTTATAAATTGTAAAGTGCTGTATGGATGTAAAATCAGGTATAATTATTATAATTAGCAACACCAACTGGAATTCCAAAAGTCAAGTTTGCCTTGGATCATTAAAGAAACTTTATTAAATAAAACACTATTTCTAAGGGAATCCCATCTATAAGAATGTTTTAGGTCAGCAGCATGAACTAATTTATAGGAGGTTTTATGGAAATCAGAGTTATTGAAAATTAGCCCAATACAGTGCCTGCAGTATTTTACTCTCTTGCTGTTGCCTATAAGGTCATAGAAACCACCCTAAGCAAAGTGTTCGGTTGTCTTAAACACATTCTTGTCATTTCTTACATTACCTTTCTTCTTACCTTGAGACAAACTTTACCTAACCTTTACCGGAAACTCAATCCCTTCCTTCTTTGCCTCCCTCTGCACAACAAGCACCTCTTAGCCAGCTACTTCACTAGAAAGCATTCGACAATATTGCATTTTTGTGTTGTTTTTTCAAGAGCATGTTAATAAAGTACCAAGATAAGCCACAGCGGGTATATATTGAGTGGGAACATTTCAGACACAAGGGATTAGCCTACTGTAGAGATATCTGGAGAAAAGAATGTTACACTGGTGGCCCTTAATTTAGATAACAACCAATTTTTCCAACTGATAAGGTCAATCACAGATGGTAATGAATGACGCCAAAGGCACAATCCCTCTCGGTACCTGCAATACCCATAAAAGTCTCCTGATCCCAGTAATGCTCCACAGTGAATTTCACCTTAAAGTGCACTGCTCTCTACTCAAATTTTACAACTACCCCTCTCCCAATAACATGACCTTCCTTCACTTCATTTTCAAGGCTTCTTCTATTCTTCCATATCACTCACATAAAACAACAGTAGAAGCAAGTCATCTTATAGCAAAGGGATACAAGCCCCTGTCCAAAGGTCAGGGAATGGATCTGGGTTTATATCTCAATGATTTGCTGAATATAAACTCATTATTGAAAAACTGATGGTATAAAGTCAGTAGTTTAGTTAGTAATAACACACCGATAGTGATTTCCTATATTTGACAAATATATCATGGTAATGCAAGATGATAAGAAGAAACAAACACATTGAGGGGTATATGTATGACTGTATACTATCTGTGTGACTGTTCTGTAAATTTAAAAGTATTTCAAAGAATAAGTTTATTCTAAAAATTGATGAGGAGGTCCATTGGCCAATTCCTTAAGCAATTAATTTTCCTGATGCTTGTAGTTATCAGAGCTTCGGGATTATCTAATAAGCATTGTAACTTTATCAAAGGGAATATATGGTGCTGCATTTTCCAAACATATTTGGCCAGAAACCTTTCTTTTTTTCTTCAAAAAGTTTCTTTCCAGAAAAGTGCTGACATAGAGAAAGTTTCTCCCAATGTGTCACAGATTTCTGTCCTATACCAGACCATGTTCAAATTTTAATCAGCATCTTTGTCTGAAGAGAGAAAGAAGCGATGAACATTAAATTGGCAGAAGATGTGAAACTAGAGATAATATGATGGATGAGAAAATAATCACTAAAATTAAACTTAATAGGCTACGTCAATTGAACAAACATAACGGGATGAATATAAAAGGATAAATATATAGTCTACTTTTAGTTAAACAAATTAAAAACAAAAAATCAACAGAGTAAGTACAGGATGAAGAAGAACGGACTTAAGTGCCCATTATGTTACTATAAACAGCTTTGTGTCTCAGGAGTTCTTAGGTCAAAGTAGTAGAACTTTGACCTTCAGTGAAGAGGCCCTAAAAGTACTATTATGGTAAAGCCATTTCTGCAGATTTTGTTTGCTTTTTAAATTTTTTTAAGTTCTGTGTGCTACACGATAAGGGGATTTGACAGTTGTCCTTAAGTACACAAGGATACAAGGAGAATGAAATCTACTCAGTGTAACTTCAGAATTCAGAAAAGGATCTAAGGAAGCAAGAGGAAGCACATCATCTCTGTAACCATTAAACTGCCTCATAAAAGAATGAACATCCTTGAAATGAAGTGAGCGTCCTGCCTCTGGGATTGTTGAAATAGAAGCTGGATGCCCAGCTGTCCAGATTGCTGCCAGGGTGTCTTCTATATTATACCTGATTAATGACTTCTACAGAACCTTCTAGTGTTAAGATCTCAGAATATATGAAACCAGAGGGAAGGGAAAAAACTTGAGAGGCACCGAGAAGAATGACAAACCACTGAAAACACCCCCAAAGGTCCCTCAGGCCACACTCTGCCTCTCTTCTAACCATCATCCCTGTGATAATATCTGGAAACTGCCTGGACAAGTGCTGTGGTTTAGCTGAAGAATCAGAGGCAAAACGCCATCCCTGAGTATGTACCTGAGAGACTTTTGATGGTATAATTTAATTTACATTACACAACAGGGGAGTGATGAATTCATCTAGACCAAGTATTGTTGATACTCAAAAAGAAATTTACCAAAGTAAATAAACATATAAACACATAAGTATACAAACAAGTTAACTTTTTAGAACTCCCTATTTTTTTTCTCCTATGGAAATAATTGGCCTATGAAAAGTTCAGTGTGTACCAATTTAAGGCCTGCTTCAAGGTTGCCCCCAAGCTGAGCCAGAACTATCCTGACGAGAGTGAGAGTGAGCTGGACACAAAAGTTAGGAAGGCGCCCTCTCAGGGTCCTGTAATTGCTGGCAGGGTCAGCCCCTGAGAGGGAGTGCCTCTTTAAATGTGCGTCACACACTCCTGCTTACATCACACTAGTCCTGGCCTCGTGATTGGTCAGGCATTCAACGCCCCTTCCCTCTGCAGCCTCAAACACTGGTTGCTTAGGTAACAGCCGATTCAAAGCCTGCAGAGTGGGAGGCTGCGGACCTGACCTTCTCCCATCTCCTAACCCTATGTAGGCCAGAAGCTGGCACCGACACTACCATCACCCCACAATGTCCCGGGTCCCGGAGTGGAAGAGGGCAGAGTGTAGTCCAGGAGCTCCTGGGGCCAGCTGCGATGGCAGAGGTGGCAGAGGCAGCAATGGGAGTGACTCCTCAGGCGGTTTGGGGCCTAGAGCCGCAGGCTCCCATGAACCACCACTCTGCTTTAGACTGGAGAACCATCTGGTTGGCTCAGTCATTGGTCATGGTGGGTCAAGAATAAAAGACCTACAGCATTCGACAAACACTAAAATACAGATAATAAGGGGGGATTCCGAAGCAGTAAAAATTTTTGGCAGCAAAGATACGAAAGCAAAGGTCAAGGCAGCTTTAGATACTCTTATTAAAAGACAAGAAAGGTACCGTTCAGAATCGGATGTGGATAATGCTGCGTCCCAACCTCCTGTTGGGAGAGACGTAAGCATAGTTAACGTTGTCAGAGAAGCTCCGCCATTGATTGATTGGGATCGTATTAAGGCAGAAGCCGTGGCCTGGGAGAAAAGAAAATGGGCAGATTTACCACCAATTAAGAAAGACTTTTACATAGAATCCAAAGCTACAAGCTCCATGTCTAAAGAGCTGGTAGACACGTGGAGGAAAGAGAATTACAACATAATGTGTGATGACTTGAAAGGTGGTGAGACGTGCCCCATCCCTAATCCAGCTTGTAAATTTGAGGACGTTTTTCTATCCATACCCAGAACTTATGAAAAGCATAACAAGGGTGGGTTTTCAAAAACCAACACCAATTCAGTCACAGGCATGGCCCATTGCTTTAAAAGGAGTAGATCTTATAGGAGTTGCCCAAACTGGCACAGGCAAAACATTGTCCTACTTAATGCCTGGGTTTATTCATCTTGATTGTCAACCGATATCTAGAGAACAAAGGAAAGGACCTGGCATGCTAGTCCTCACTCCCACCAGAGAATTAGCTCTTCAGGTGGAAGCTGAATGTTCTAAATATTCATATAAAGGTCTGAAAAGTATTTGTATATATGGTGGTAGAGAGAAAGACAAATTCAATGCATTACCAAAGGTGTAGATATCATTATTGCAACTCCTGGAAGACTGAATGACTTGCAAATGAATAACTTCGTTAACCTACAAAGCATTACCTACTTGGTCTTAGATGAGGCAGATAAAATGCTGGATCTGGGGTTTGAGCACCAGATTAAGAAAATTTTGTTAGATGTGCGCCCAGATAGGCAGACTGTTATGACAACTGTGACTTGGCCAGATTCTGTCCGTAGACTTGCACAGTCTTATTTGAAAGAGCCTATGATTGTTTATGTTGGCACTCTGGATCCAGTTGCTGTAAACACAGTGAAGCAAAATATAATCGTTACCACAGAAGCAGAAAAACGAGCTCTTATCCAAGAATTCCTAGAGAATATGTCACCCAAGGCAAAGTCATAGTGTTTGTCAACCAAAAACTTGTTGTTGATGACTTATCAAGTGATTTTGGTATCCAAGGCCTCCCTGTGCAATCACTACATGGTGACAGAGAGCAATGTGATCGAGAGGAAGCATTAGAAGACTTTACAAGTGGAAAAGTGAAGATATTGATTACAACTGATTTAGCATCCCGAGGCCTTGATGTTAATGATATCACACATGTATATAATTATGATTTCCCAAAATCACTGAAGAGTATATACACAGAGTAGGGCGTACTGGACGAGCAGGAAAGACTGGAACATCAATTACCCTTATCACTCAAGATAATTCAAAGATTGCCAATGAATTGATTCAAATTCTGAAAAAAGCAAATCAGAGTGTCCCAGAAGTTCTTGTAGCGATGGCCAAGTGATACAACTTCCAGAAACAAACAAGGGACACAGAAAAAAGACCAGGAAAGTCTTGAGGAAAACCCAAGAAGTTTTAGTTATATTTACATTGAAAAGTTGTACCAGCTACTAGAAGATTTAAGGCATGTTGAACATATACAGTATTCAAGATACATAAGAAAGTTATTGGAAACATACTGGCAGTTTGAAGACACAACCTATTCTTAAATAACTCTAAGCTTTCAATATTGTGTATGCTCCTTAATTAAAAAAAAAAAAAGTTTTAAAAATGAGAGTGTGAGATGCTTTGTGGGGAAAAATTAAATGTTATGTGTTGGTAAAGTCTTTTTCTTTTATAGCCTGCCATGTATATCTGTCTTAAAAACTTGGTAGAAGGCAGTGATGGTGCTTTTCTTGCTTTAAAATAGTTGTACTGAATTGAAGCATACATGGGTTTTGTTAAGCTTATTCCATCAAAATATTCTTTCCCTAGCACCCCTAATGGCAGTTGCCACAGTGATCCCTAAACATATCTCCCCTATTATTCCTGAATTTTTTTTAGTTCATTAGAAAATAAGTGCTAAATCTTCTAGAAGATTCTGCAGTTCTATATTATCTGATAGATGTAACCAAGAGAACCGGTGTCTGACTCTCTGAGAATCATATCCTTACATGAATTCTGTCACTAACTATTGGTTAGAAATTCCAGGGAGGTCACTTGTCTTCCCTAGGTCTCAATTTCTCCACTCATAAAATGGGATGGTTATATTAAAAAATTGGGGGGGTCTCCTTCGCCTCTAAAATTCTGTGATAATATAACTAAAATTGTGTACCCCAGCCTTATATTAACAAGTTAATATCTAATTTAGGGAAAATTGTACCCCTGTGTAATAAGTTGAACAAGGAATCCCTTTTTAATGACTAGAAATGTGTTCAGCATTTTTAATAATTTTTGTAATGTGACTGGCAGGTTTCTTTTTATTCTTTGCTTTTCTTTTCATCATATTTAATTTTTAATTTTTAATTCAATTTGTCTTGAAAAGGGCAAAACCATATATACACACACATCAGGGGAAAAAGTGAATGTGAAAGAAAATGTATATCTTATCTACTGGGGAAAATATCAAAAAATTAGATGACACTTGCCATAGGAACCAGTTTTAGTAAAACTCTAATTTTGTTTATAATTCTATGTCTCATGCCTTACTTAGAAGCAATATACATCCCACAATTGCAAACAGAAATCCCCACAATGATGCTAAACTCCAAAATTCAGTTTTCATGAAAACATTGGAATTAGTTGAGTCTTAACATTTCTGGCAAAATAAAGAGAAAAATTAATGCAACTATCTTTCCCCCCAGCTTGCCTTAGTTATGACCAAAAATAAGTCAGAAATTAATAGAAAAAAAAGAGGTAAACACTCTAGGCATAGGTATTTGAGGTTTAAAGTCTGCTTTTAAAGGTTTTATATATAGGCCTCAATATCTCATGATAAAGTTAATAACAATGGTTATCATTTTTGAGTGACATATACCAGGTGCTTAATCTCATAATTTCTGATATTCATTAGTAACCTACTCAATCATGTTTAAATAACAGTAACAACAAAAACTATCACTCAATGTCTATGAGTAAGAAAAGAAAAGTGTGTTTCTTCTACAAGAAAAGGCTGAAAAGAAGAGCCAGTGTATGGAGAAGGTAAGTAGAGACAGAAGAACGGTTCTTAGCACGGGTACTTTGCTACCCAGGAGAACTTTGACAATATCTGAAGACAGTAATGGTTGTTACAACTTTGGGTGGGGGGTGAGGAACTACTGGCATCTAGTGGGTAGAGGTTGATAAACACCCTATGACCTACAGACAGCCCCACACAACAAGAAAATTATCTGGCCCAAAACAATAGTGCTGAGGCAGAGAATCCCTGAGAGACCATAAGCAAAACAAAACAACCAGTTGCATAGTAACCAAGGAGGGACTCCAGAGGAAAAATAAATAGAGGGTTTCTAAGCTGTATATTATGGATTGTACAGAATAAAGCCCTACAAATTTCCTATCTTTGGTATATTTGTATCAGCGGTCCTCCACCAGAGACAATTTTGTCAATGTTTAGAGACAGATTTGGTTGTCACAACTGGGGGTGGTAGTGGTGGCATTGGCATCTCCTGGGTACCACTAAACACCCCACAGTGCATAGGAGAGCCCCCCCATCAAAGAATTATCTGGTGCAAATGTCAGTAGTGCCGTGGCTGAGAAACTCTGCAATAAATTAAGCAAAAAGAAACAAACAACAACAGCAAACCAAACCTAGTTGCAGAGAAACTGTATTAGTTTGTTTCTGTTGCTCATAACTAAATATATGGAACTGGGTATTTTATAAAGAAAATGAAATTTATCACTGACAGTTTCTGAGGCTGGGAAGTCCAAGGTCCGGGGAACATGTCTGGTGGTGGTGACAGTGACCCCTCACATTGCAAGATGGTGGAAGCAGACAGAGCAGAGATGAACCTCCTCAATCTCCTTTAAAAGCCCTCCAAACCACGCCCATGACTACAATTTTTAATTCATTCACTAAGGCATGGTCCTGCAATCTAATCACCTCTTCATTGCCCCAGCTTTGAATTACCATAATAGTATTTCTCACCCTCTTAACACTGTCACAGGGGTGAGAGGTTTGGGGGGACACTCAATCCAAGGCAAAACCAAGAAGGCATTACAGAGAAGAAAAGAAAAAGAGATTATGTATTTGTTGTGCACTGTGCAATATAAACCCCCAGTCAACTTTACTATCTTTGTTGTAATCTATATTTCTCAACTTGAGTTGATTTTGTCCCCAGTTTGACATTTGGCAATGTCTGGAGACTGTTTCAGTTGTCCCCATGAGGGAGCAGGATTTCAACTAGCGGGTAGAAGCCAGTGATAAACACCCTATAATGCACATGATAGCATCTTATGACAACTGATTTTTCAGCCTGAAATGTATGGTGTTGAGGTCAAGAAACTGGTTTACTTTTTTAAAAATTTTATCAATATATGGTGTAGTTGATTTTCATGTCCCTTTACCGATTTCTCCCTCCCCCATCCCTCTCCCCACTCACACCCATCAACATTGTATCTGTTCACTTATCTTAACAAGTTCAAGGAATTATGATTGTTGTGTCTTCTTCCCCGTCCCCCCATTTGTGTGTGTATTTATTTTTAGCTCCCACAGAAAAGTGAGAACATGTGCTATTTCTCTTTCTGTGCCTGACTTATTTCACTTAATATAATTTTTTCTAAGTCCATCTATGTTACTGCGAATGGTAGTATTTCATTCTTTTTTATAGCAGAGTAGAATACCATTGTGTAGGTATACCACATTTTCTGTATCCACTCATCTGATGATGGACATTTGGGCTGGTTCAAACTCTTGGCTATTGTAAATAGTGCTGCAATAAACATTGGAGTACAGGTATCCCTTTGGCATGATGATTTACATTCCTCTGGGTATATTCCCAGCAGTGGAATAGCGGGGTCATATGGTAGATCTATCTGTAATTGTTTGAGGAACCTCCATACCATTTTCCATAAAGGCTGCACCATTTTCAGTCCCACCAACAGTGTAGGAGGGTTCCTTTTTCTCCATAACCTTGCCAGCATTTATCATTCTCAGTCTTTTGGATATTAGCCATCCTAACTGGAGTGAGATGGTATCTCA